GCTAGGAATTCAACCTACGTACTCTGAAAAAGTAGTCAGACCCCCCTTTTTTTTAAATATTCTTTTTACTTAATTTTTGTGTCTTTCATATTATGCTTCTTGATCCTATTCATTTTCCTTTACCTTTGCATCCTCCTGATGGGAGATGTCATCCTGTATATGTTTCTCATACTGGTTAATGAATAAAGCACTGTTAGCCAATTGGAAAGGAAGATAGGAGGGACTAGGAGACAAGGAGGAGAGAGAAAGTAGTAAGAAGGAGGAGTCAAGATGGAGAATCTGGAGAGACTAGAACTGCCAGCCGCCTCTCGCTGGTAAGACCACGTGGAAATACATAGAAACAGGTTAATAATTAAGTCAGAGCTAGCCGATAAGAAACTAGTAACTGGCCAACAGCATAATATCAAATACAGAGTCTCGGTGTGTTAATTGGGGCTGGAGCAGCAGCAGGACAAGACCAGGCAGCCGGCAGAAAAACCTTACTCCTTACATAACTCCTTACTCCTTACAAAATTCAAGAGAAAAAAAGGAAAAAAGAATTTTAAAGGGGGAAATTAAAAATCTTTTCATAGAAGCTGCAATAGGACACTGTGAGTCAGTGAGTCACACCATTAACACTTTGTCCATTTATCTTCATTCATTCCAAAGAGTCATTGGGCTGGTTCTATGTCTCTGGTTCCTATTGCAATATCAATGCTGAACTCTCACTAGGACTCTTCTTGGACATCCTATTATGCCCTGTTTTGTGGAGATAGTGCAGCTTTGGGTTTGTGGGTCAGGTTCTTTCACCACATGCTCTAGTAGGTCATAGATGGGATGCATGTTGAGGGAGACCAAGTAATAACCCTGGGTCTGGGTCTGAGCAGCTGTAAGGTTGGTCCACCAGATGAGAAGTTGGGGACAGTTCTGCCATGTTTACAACTTCAGTACTGGCTCCGCCACACCTGGGTTAGCAGGGTTGGTTCTATTGTGCTGTTCTGCCAAAGTACAGGGCTTGCTCTTCTGAGTGTTCAGTTGGTAAGGGGCAGAGACATCTCTCCCACCTGGCTTAGATGCTGATGGGCAAGGGAGGGTGGCAGGGGTGGGGCATCATTCCCCTATCCACACTACCACAACACAGAGGAGAAATGAGGATGTCTCTCACATATCCACTAACAAGGTTGGCTCTTTTGTGCTGCCCTGGCGAGGTGTAGAGCCTGATCGCCCTGGAACTTTGCAGCTGGCAGAGGTCAGGGGCAGCTCTCTGGCTCTTATGAGCACAGTGCTGACTCTCCTGCCTTCCCCAGGCATTGATGGGCTAGGGGTAGCAGAGGAGGATAAAATAAAACTTAAGATGAAAAAGGAAAAAATAAAAGGAAAAATTTCTTCATAGCAGGTGTAGTGTGACACAGTAAGTCACAATAACCTTTTAGTCCATATAGCATTACTTGCAAGTGTCCATTGCAAAGAGTCCTTGATCTAGTTCAGGGTTTCTGGTTTCTGCTATACTATCAATGCTGGACCCTCACTCGGCTCCTCTTGGATGTCCTGCTGTTACCCTGTGTCTTGGAATTCCTACAGCTTTGGGTCTGTGCCCTTGCATGTGTTCTACTGGATAATAAATGGATTGGATGTTGGGGGAAGCCAACTCAAAACCCTTGTTCTTTCTGGGCCGGCTTAGTTGCAGGGTTGGTCAGCACATCAGCTTTCTTTCCCCAGTCCTCACCAATGGTATGAGCTCTTCAGCATTGCCCCAGGCTCATTCATGCCTTGCAGCAATGAGCAAGAGGCAGGATTCCTGCTTCCACACCATCACAGTATGTCAGCTCTCCCACACCTACACCATCAGGGTCAGCTCTACTATGTTGCCCAGGGAAGAAGGTGCAAGGGTCACTCTTCTGAGTGCTGTAGTTGGTGACTGGTATGGATAGCTCTCCTGGTCTTATGACCAGCTCTCCCACCCACCATGGGTGGGAGATGAGAGGCAGATGAGAGGCAGAGGCAGATGTTCCATGTTCATCTTCTCTGCCTTGTTCACCTGTAATAACCCTGCCAACAGGGTTAGCTCTGCTGTGATGCCCAGATGAGCCCTCTTTCCCAAGTGCTGATGCTCTGTCACCCATCACAGGTGACAGGCCAAGAGAGAGGAGAGCATCTTTACTCACCCTCTCCACCACATGACAGGGTGGGGGGATGGGGCAGGGGTGGGATGTATCCAGTGGTCTCAACTGCTGAGCTCTCTGCAGCCCACTCTCAAACATTTTTGACAATGAAAAAATTTATATTTCCTTAGAGACTGACACTATGTCTCTTATCACTAATAACAAGGTTCCTTTGGTACCTGGCAAGGGCATGGGCTATAGAAGCTTCTCAGTATCTACTTTTTCACTGAATAAGCATTGGCCCTCATCGTTCTCACTGACATAGGTAACTCATCTTGACTGCATTCATATGTCAGAAGTTCTGTGAAATTATAGCTCATATGTTGCAAAAATAATTTTACTTTAAGGAGTGATAAAATTCATATTTGTTTTGTAATCTGCAGAAGAGTGGTCAGCTGCACAAGTGTATTCTGTGAGCCTCTTGACTGGCTTTTCAGGGTAGTTAATAGAGGGAGCAAAGACAATACACTGAAAGAATAAACTGAGTCACTCCATCCTTTAAGTTATTGAGACAGAGCACAGTTGTCACTGATAACTAATGCAACAGTCATAAGCACTTGGCAGCAGTGTGTAGATTTGTGCTGGTGACTGAGAACAAAATAATGATGTGCGAGCATCTGTCTAGTTCATTTCTTCATCATGTGTCCTAGAACCTTAAAAATACTCAAAAGTAAACCAAAGTTTGTTCATTCATATACATCATTTGTATCTGTACGTGTGTGTGTGTGTGTGCACATGCATGTGTGTGTGTGTGTGTGTGTGTGTGTGTGTGTGTGTGTGTGAGTGCTAACACACACATCAGGAAACATAAAACCTACCTAGTTTATCCACTCAATAATTGGCTGCATTTTTGAGACAAGAGTGATTATTACATTAAATACTAAGTTTCAGTAAATTAGCCATCATATTCTAGTACAATCTAAATATCCATTCTTGGGATTTTTTGATACACACAAAACAGTGATAACTTCTCTTCACTCACACAGATAAAGACCATGTTGTATTAGCTAATATTTTGTTGTATTAACTAATTTTTATGGCTTCCATTTGCCACACAAACAACCAATCCTAAAATTGTAAGCACCATCTTACTAAGAAGAAGAAAACTAACTTTTAGAAAGCCACATGTTTTACTATGGGGTAAGATCAAATTAACTAAGTAATTCCCCCATAATGTAAATTAACTGATAATTCATTACTACAGTACTTGTGATCCTAGGATATCAGAGCATAGAATACTAAAATATTGACATTCAAAATACACACTCAACTATTTTTAATAAGTAAATATAAATAATGATGTATAGTACATAATACTGTTATAAAATTGTAGGCAATATGCTTCATTTCTATTAGTTTAAGGATATTCATTTCACAGATATCTAGGAATTTAGAAATTTTAGGATTTTATTTTATAAAAGGAAGAATATTCACTACTGTTTTCAAAAAGTTTAAGTGGCAGACTATAGAAATGATCTACCTTGGGAGTGGGTGTGCCTCTGACTCTTTTACCTTCTCTTAGGACTCTTTTCCTCCTATTAACCTGCCTTGGCCTACATCAAGATGAGGGGTTTTGCCTTGTCTTATTGTATCTTGTTTTATCATGTTTGGCTGTTGCCTTTCAGAGGTCTGTTCTTTTCTGAAAAGGAACAGAGGGGATATGGACCTGAGGAGGAAGAGAGATAGGCAGGAGGAGCTGGGAGAAGTGGAGCGAGGGGAAACTATGGTCTGAATATATTGAATGAGAGAAGAATTTATTTTTAATAAAATAAAAATCAAGTGTAAGTAAATATAGCTCACTTTACCTCAGCCTAATGACAGCCCTGGGTAATAGCTGTTTCACTAAGATCTATATTCTATCTGAATGTTCTTCTCACAGGAAAAGAAAAAAAAAAGCAGCATCACTTATGTAGTCTTGCATTTAGTAAAGGGTTTCAGGTTACTTGTTTGAGGTATCCATTTTTAAGATGATAAAAGGAGTGGAACAAAATTAGCCAAGGGAGTTAGTCATGACCAAGAAGAAACCAAGAGTGATCACAAGAAAATGTCTCAGGGGTAATTGAAAAGCATTACTTAGGGTGTGGGAGTACATATACCAGGACGATGAGGAGGAAAGGGGTTATTAGCTAATCCATTGTCTAAAACCCACTGAATCACTGGTCCCTTTCAATCATGATTGGTCCCTTTTTTTTCTGAAGATGGGTTTTAAATGTTAGGAGATGATCTGAAGAACAGAACTGAGAAAGAAAGGGACAGATCTTACAAAGGAGCAAGGTAAGATATCAAATCTTTGCTTTGATATTTTAAGAATCAAACTCTGATACATGACCGTGGTCACCCTGGTGTGTGCCTGGGAACTTTTTCAAGTAAAGGCAAGAGATAAGACACATCCACTAGTTATAGTATGTAACCCTACTGCTGCTTAACTGTTTAACTTCATTTCCTGGATTGGGAAAACAATGTTGCAACCGCTACAGTTAATCCTGGTGACTATTTTTAGACTTCTAATGGAAATTTTCTATTTGGCCTGGGACTGTTAGATATTTGTTGTGATACATTTTTACTGCAGGCATTAAGATCTTTCTAATAACAAGGAACAAGTAATTGATCCCATGCAGAGGGCCCCATGGACTGGAGGATGTATTCCTTTCAGTAAGAGGCTAACAGGGATATGGCCACATCACCTGCACCTAAATGAGCTTTAAGATCAAACAAATAATTTCCCCATAATTCTAATATTGAGAGATAGTCATACAGATAACATTTTTACTTTGAACCAAAAAACGTTAAGTAAATACAGAGAAACTGACTCAATGTGACAATGCTATGCCTTTATTTTTGACATGAAATTTTAAGCAAAGAATATCTTCTAAAGCTAAGTATTACAACTCATCATGGAAGTATATCATCTGAAAATGAAAATTTTAATTCTTCTTGGGCTCATAGGAGCTACATCCTCAGCTCCGGTAAGTGGTTTATGACATTTCGATTTCACCATGTAATCCTATGCAAGTGCCTTCCCTCATCATTTTTCTTTCTTTCTTCTTCTTCTTTTTTTTTCTTTAGCTTGTTTCACAGCGCCTACTGTCTGCTAGCAACAGTCATGAGGTTAGTTTAAGTAATTAAAATAATCTCCTGTGTTCTGAAAGTGAAAACATGTTGCAAAAACATAAAAGCCTTCATCCAGCCCACTGGTTCTTAAACATCTCCAAATGTATTTCCAGGCTGCATGGTTGCTTTGTCTACAAGGTGGCTTCTATAGAGCTGTTTTGTCTTCCTTATGTAATCATAATTTTTCCAAGTACATTATCATCTGTATGCATTGTTCCAGTTGTACTAATGTGGGTATTAAATACATATGTATAAACATAAAATACCAAAACCACTGGAATAAGCTAAAACTGTGCAGTCTCATTGACTTTGATGATCCCCCATGGGAGGCCTCTCCCTCCCCCGTGAGGAGTGGATGGGGGGGCATGGAGAGATGATGGGGGAATGGAAGAACAGGAGGGAAAGGGAACTGGGATTGGTATGTAAAGTAAGATGATTTTTAATATAAATAAAATTAATTTTAATAAAGGCACTATTGTCTATGACTAGAAAAGAAATTGAGAAATAACTATGCAAATAATTGGATTGAAATGTTCAAGCCATTTTTGTATACCACCTTGTTATAACCGACATGACTATTTTTTATTAACAACAATCATAAAATTTAATGCAAACAAAATATTTTTGGGCCTTGCTTTCAACTTTAACGACTAATCACTGTAATTTAATGCTGTCTTAGTGGAGAAATGTGTCAGTTCACACTGGAAGTGGATCAACCAGCTCTGACTTATGCTCTCTCTAGAAAACATTTCAGAATACATAGCCATCTTATTTTCCCATTGTCTCTCCTTTTCTAGTTACTCCTGAGTCTGAATAATGGTCGACTTTTACCACTGCAATTTCAGGTACTGCTATCTAAATAACCAGTTCAGAGGAATGTATCTCTAATGAGCATTTCTTATGGTATGGGATGAGAACATGCATCCATTTATATTGTTAAGAATTTGGTATGAGCTGGGCCATGGTGGCACACGCCTTTAATCCCAGCATTCAGAAGGCAGAGGCAGGTGGATCTCTGTGAGTTCCAGGCCAGCCTTATCTACAAGATTGAGTTCCAGTACAGACTCCAAAGACACAGAGAAACCCTGTCTCAAAAACCAGAAAAAACATTAATTCTGAAGACTTTTGATTGCAATAGTTAAGTATTTAAAACAAAGTCATATCTAATTAACCAAAAGGAAAAGGAAACGAAAAATATTAAATATAGTAAAATTGCTAAAGATAAGTGTGCTCTTTTATCAAGTCTTTGAATTCCATATTCTCATGACAGCTAAAAACTGGGAGGATTATAAGCAGTTGAGATTCTGTCTTTTTATAGCACAGAATATATAAATTGCCTACAGTTTTGTCTTTATTACTCAGGCTAGATTTCAAGTTCTTTTTTTTTTTTTATGTGAGAGAGTAACATTTCCTTTCTATCTTTGTTTCTCACAGGGTGCATTTAACCCCTGGATTCCTCCCTTCCCTGGGTTTCTCCAGCAGCAACAGCAGCAGCAGCAGGCTCAGATCCAAGGACTCCCACAGTTCCCACTCTCAACACTAGAGAGTTTTGCTGGGTTATTCCCAAATCAGATACCTTTCTCAGGACAGGTTGGGTTTGCCCAAGGAGGTCAGGCTGGCCAACGAGAATTCTCACAGCCACAGACACCACCACAGAGCCAACAAGTTGCTAACCTTGTAAGTTGGGCTTCTTCCATTTTGCTGCTGTAACAGAACATGAAGTCTCTTGTGAAACAGCTTTAAAATATGGCAGGAGTCTTATCAAGTCTTATTTCTCCTGTGCTGTTTCAATCAACATGGAAAATATCCCCTTATATTTTCTGATTTCTTAAATATAAAAGCAACATAAAAATTAATTACCCTAGAATATAGTTGGCAATAAGGAGTTAAAACACGTGAATGCATAATTTGCCTACTTTGTAACTCATGTAGAAAATAAGCTTTAGTGTAACATTGCTAATGCAAATGATACATGTGAAGCTAGCTCTAGGAAAAGGAGACCAAGAATTTTAAGTAACAAGTCAAGTATGATTTGCTTATGTGTTTTTCTGGGTTTGTTTGCTCATTTGTTTTCTTCAGATGTCTTATGTGTTTCCCTTCAAAGTGCCTCAAGATCAAACACAGGTGAGTGAAAAGAATTCCATGACAAACATGCAAGTGGCTTGTTGTGCTCTCCATAGCACCCTTGGGTCTCCAGCATCAGGGTTTTCACCTGTGGACAACACATCACTGGCGTCTATACATCTGCTGATGTTGGGCTGATGCTGATTCTTTAAGAACAGGCAGCTAAAAAGGGTCTCTAGAACCCTTGAATACCTATGGCATCGCTATGCAGAAGGGAAGGAATTTGGAAAGGCCAGTACAAATCTTCTCTACATTTAAGTGCTGAAATTGGGGAACAACTAAAGAGCAATACCATGAATGGACTTTGTACCCTTTCAAATTTGGTTTCAGAGAATCTTACATTTATATCTGATATGTAGATATAAATAAAACACATTAAATAATCATTTTTATTATAAATAACACTAATATACATTATTCAGCTGTTACAAAACTCCACTGAATACTTTCCCAGCCTCTTTGTATTTATGGTTTGACTCCACATTATAATCAACTTAAAATTTCCCTTTAATTAAAAAAAATGAAATTCATATTAACTAATACATTTATTATGTTAACATAGAAACTGTTGACACTAGGGTACCTAAATGTATAATACCTCAGATTCAAAGAAACAGGGCCATATATTTTTTTTATTTAAACTAGAAACAATCTTATTTTATATATCAATCCCAGTTCCCTCTCCTTCCCATTCTCCCATGCCCCCCACCAATCCCCATCCCATCCCTCTTCTGCTCCATAGAAAGGGTGAGGTCTTCCATGAGGGATCCTCAACGTCTGTCACTAGTCCCTCCCCTGTGTGTCTAGTCTAAGAAGTATACCTCCATGGGGAATGGACTCCCAATGTCCATTTGTACACTAGGTATAAATGTTGTTTCATTACTGGGTCCCACAGACTGCCCAGGCCTGCTAACTGACACCTATGTGCAGAGGGCTGGGCTTAGTCCTATGCTGGCTTCCAAGCTGTCAGTCTGGGGACCAAGAGCTCCTGTTAGTTCAGATCAGCTGTTTCTGTGGGTTTCCCCAGCATAGTTTTGACCCCTCTGTTCATTATTCCTCCCTTCAACTGGATTCCAGGAATTCAATTCAGTACTTAGCTGTGGGTCTCTGCTTCTGTTTCCATCAGTTACTGGATGAAGATTCTAGGAGGGCATATAAGAGAACCCTCAATCTTATTATAGGGGAAGGACATTTAAGGTAGCCTCTCCACTATTGCTTAGATTCTTAGTTGGCATCATCCTAGTACATCTCTGAACATTTCCCTAGTGTCACATGTCTCTTTTTAAACCTATAACAGCTCCCTCTGTTAAGGTATCTCTTTTCATGCTCTCCTCTATTCTTTCCCTGACTCACTTGAAGATTATTGACTTGTTGAAACAAAATTACACTGCTTGCCTCTTCTATAATTATGCAATTAAGTTTCACTCACATGGCCATTTCATAATAACATGATTCTAGACATTATCTCATTGTATGTCGTAAGTATGTAGAGAGTCAGATATATGACAAATACAATTACTTCATTTTAAGGACCAGGAAACAGTTTTAATGAGATTAAGTACCTTATCCCAGTGAATTAAATAGCTGAAATAGAAATCAGTCCTCTTCCCCCTTTTTAAAATTGCTAATCCAGTAGCTCTCTATTCTGGTTTTACATCAAAAGCTTAGTGAAAATTATAAATGCCTTAGGCCCAAGGTATCACCAACTTGACAGAAAAACACTGTTAAGTTTCTGAATGCTTAATGGGTGATTTTTTTTTTTTACTCTCTACAGGATAAAAACCTATGAGGCAAGTTTTTTCATTCAGAAACATTGTTGCAATTATCTTCAGACATTGTATCAAATATAATCATTTAATGATACAAATATAAAACAATATTTTAAAAAGTATCCGTGTTCTATGTTTCCTATTTTTCATACTTTCTTTATGTACATGCACATACAGATATAACTAGAAGCCAATATATGACAATATGGGTGGTGATACTTTTATTTATTTTTTGCTTCCTGAGTTTCTGTATTCTAAAACTCATAAAGTTTATTATTCTTAAAATACATTTAGATTTATTTATTTTATGTCTGTGAGAGTTTCACCTGTGTGAATTATTCAGGACCTTGAGAAGTCATAAATGGACTTTGGATGCCTTAAAACTGGCTGTGAGCCACCATGTGCATGCTGACAAGGGAAGCGAGGTCCTCTCCTGGAGGAAACAGTCCTCTTTACCCATGATCCCTCTCCATTGCCCAAGAATTACCTTAGTAAAGCAGAAATTATTAAGTATTTAATTTGATTTCTTTTTCACTCACTATAGCAGAAATTCTAACATCATGTTCTGTAGAATTAAAATTCTCAAAATTATAGAAAAAATACTACATTGACTATTCTCTCCTTGGATGCTTATATATTAACCTATGACTTGCATTTTCAAGATGCTATTTGTTAAAAGGATGCATGCTTCCTTTACTTAGTTGAATCTACCATATCCTAAATTGTTTAAGCATGAAACCTTAAAAATTAAGTCCAGTACCATCTTGGGTAAGAGTTGTTTCTAAATTTAAAAGTCACTGTAAAATGGCTTTGCATAGTTCAATTTTTGCTTGAGATGGTAGTTCATACCTCTAATACTAGCTTTAAAACATTACTGACATTAACAGAGTGAAAAGTATTGCTCATCCTGATTTAATGAAATTCCCTGTGTACTTCTGTGTTTACACATAGATGCTCGGGTACTATCCAGTTTACATGTTCCTTCCATGGGAACAACCTCAACAAACAGTCACATCATCACCCCAGCAAACAGGGCCACAGCTATTTGAAGAACAGGTACTGTGAGGGTTTGGTTTTAATCTGATTTGTTCAACTTCAGAAACATGAGAACAGAACAATGGAGGACGGTTAGTGCATGTCCCAGACACTTGACCTCACAGAATAGGGCATGGTGTCTCCCTAATAGCACACTATAGACTAAAGTGGCAATACACTAAGACTATAGTCTCAAGAAAAGAAGTAAGAAAATAATTCTAATAAAACCAGGTAAAAAAATGATTTTTTTTCTGAAATGGATTTTTCTCACATTCAAATCTATATGTATTCTTTATTTATTTATAAGTATGTATATGTGCTTATTATGGAAATACTAAAATATTAAAGATTTCAAAGAAAAATATTTGTGGTCACTAGAACTTAAAATAAAATTTGATAATTATGTATTAAATTTTCTAAATCTATCACACATTTTGAGAATTTAATTTAAATTCAGATCTCTCATGATACATATTCAAAAGATACCTTAAAATATTGATGGTTTTTGTAAACTAAAACATGTGGACTTCCAAAAAAGCATTTAGTTACTGTAAAATATAAGTAATCATGCCTCAGAATTTTATGACAAAAATCATCATGATAAATCTAATACCTTTCTCAAAATTCTGACAGATACCATTCTACAATCAATTTGGATATATAGCACAACAAGCAGAACCTGTGAGTAAATGCATAATTTTAATATCTAAATTACATATTTTGAACTACTTGCTTATCTATTAAATACATGGGGATCCTTTAGATGGAAAGCATCAAGAACAGAATTCTAGATGGATGAAGTTAGAATTAACCACACATTACTAAGGGAACATACATAAAAAAAAAAAAAAAAAAAACCAGAAAAAAAGATTTCCTATATGGACTTGCATGGACTTGTAGAGTTTGTGTTGGATGGTTTTTGAGAGAGAACACACAAGTAGTAGTCAGCTATGGAATGCACATGCTCAGAAAGTGGGGGTATTCTCTGATTGTCTCGGGGATAAGCTAGAAGGTAATGAAACAACTCTGAGGAGCAAGTCACCAACCAGGATATGAGGACATTTGTACTTGGTTTCTTACAAGTCTCTTTAGATGGCATTAGGAATTCTCATATGCCAAGCATTATCATGTTTAGAAACAGCCTCACTGAGGTTGAGGCTTTACAAACTTCCACATCTGAAGTAAAACTGAGCATCAGAGCAGTTTTCTTACACCCACAGAAGCCTTTCTCTTTCTCACATCTAAACTCTTTAGACACTGGAGTATGCTTAAGTGCTTTGGTTGGCAAACAGAATGCATACTGATCCATGACTGATTTAGCCATCCCTAACTTTCTGTTTCTTCAGGATGTACAAGGAGGACAGCAGCATTTAGCTTTTGACTCCTTTGTAGGTACAGCCCCTGAAACTCCTGGGATGGTAAGATTCCTTACAAAACCTTGCAGTAACTGGAAATTGACAAGTGAGAACATAAAGGTTCCCACAGTTGTATTCACTTTAATATAAACACTGTGTCTTAGTTAGGGGTTCTATTGCTGTCAAAAGATACCATGACCCTAGCAGCACTTATAAGGAAAACATTTAACTGGGGTAGCTCGCTTAGAGTTTCAGATATTCTGTCCATTATCATTATGGCAGGGAGCATGACCAGCACATGGTACTGGCTACATCTTAATCAACATGTAGTTGACTCAGACACTGGGCAAATACTTTGAGTATCTTGAACATAGGAAACCTCAAAGACCTCCACCACAGTGACACATTCTTCTAGCAAGGTCATACCTACCACAACAAGTCCATTCTCTATGAGCTTCTGGGGGACAATTACACTCAGAATATCACCACTGTTAAAATTACATCAACTATTTATCTTCCCCTATAATCTTTGTTAGTCAAGATCTAAAACATTCAGTTCCTCAACTATTAACTAAGAAACTTTTTCCAGGAACTCTTCTGTTTACCTTATTTGAAAACTGGAACAATATTGGCAGTTGATGGCTTAGAGAGGGAAAGCCATTATGCTTCAGTGGTGTAGTCACTGACTGCTAATCCATGCATTTATGGATGACCCATACTAGTGTGTCCAATAACACTGCTAATTGAAATCAGTGGAGTATGTTTTAAAAAAAGAAGAGGAGGAGGAACATAAGTTGAGAGGCAGACATGCAAAGAGACTCCAGAGAAAGATAGAAATGAAAGTGTGGGGTGGATATAAACATAACACAATGCATAGGATGCACATGTGCAAATTTCTCAAAGAATAAAATAAAAAGTAGGTATTGATATGCAACTATACTTATTAACTACAATCACAACATTTCTAAGATTGTTTATGAGCTGACAAACTAATATAGACACATATTGTTTAATGTGATGCCTGTTTGTGACTCTTAGCATTTTAGCCTCATATTTTTCCCATTTTAAACATCTACTTGAAACTGTAACCGCTCTGTTCTTAATTTCTACAGCCAACAGAAGGAGGGCCTCTGTATTCCCAAAGAGAACCAGTCAACTTTAAGCCTGACAATGCAGGAATTTTCATGCCTTCAACTTCACCAAGACCCAATGCTGACCAAGTTTTTACTTCTGCAATAGACCCAAGTATTGCCCCAATACTTCCAGAAGAGAAGGTAGGGTAGCAAAAGATTCACTTTATGAAATATATTTTCTCTATGGTACAAGTGAGAACTTAATTTGTAGGGTCAGACCTTGTAGCAAAAGTATAAGTAATACAACATCTGGCCTTAAATCTGGATAAAAACAGCTTACACATATTATTTTAAAACAAACTATCAGGATGTAATTTGACTTTTAATTTTAACATGAACTTCATGTTAATGTTCTTTCTCACTAGGCCAAGACTGATAACCTAAGAGAACCTTAAGACATTGTCTTAATCACTCGGAAGTTTTGGTAGGTATTTTTGCCAAAGTTATGGCTTAAATGATCTAACAATTAACAAAAATTTATCAGAAATTAACAAGGAATTCTTAGCATAATGATTGTGAAGAAACAAGTTAATGTATATATCTGCCTGCAAACCCATACCAACTATAAGAATTGATAAGTTTTAAAAATCAGAATTAATTTGTAAAGTCATATCTGCCTATACTATAAACTTGATATGATTCAAATAAATACTGAGCATACTGATTCTATATAAAAATAAAATTGCATCCACTTTATATAATCAGTACTCCCAAGTCATCTTTTCACTTTGCATGTAAAACATTGTGATAATGTCCTTATCCCACTATTTTAAATAAAGTATTAAAATAATAAAAGAACTGTATATTGACAGAGAAATTTCCAAAATTAATTAAATAATTATATTTAGGATATAACTCACTATATCCTAAATATAATCATGGATAGATGTTTGTCTAAATGAACTTAGTTGAAAGACATCCTAGAAATACTATAAATAAAAACACACATAGAAAAACATGGAATGTCATTTAATGGGTAAACTAAATGATAAAGTGTTCCAAATCTCTCATGAGCCTAATCTGATTATTCTGGAAGAGGCAACATTGAGTAATCTTCTAAAGAAAAGGAACAGTACAATCAGAGTCAGGGAATGTCCAGAGTGAGGAGCATCTATTTCCTCACTAATGTGCTGTTTGTATCATGCAAATCAATTGAAATTACAGCACCAAAATTTGAAAGGTAATTCAGTACAGTATGAACTTAGGTCAGTATAAAATTTTCAATGAGATATTTTTGTTTAATTAACAAACAAATTCCACAATAACCTAACAATTTTATTAAAAAGGACCTATTAATACTAAAACTCTGTTCTGTCCTACTTCCAGGGAGAAGATCTGATAGTACCTTGGCTATCTTTTAGATTATTTTCCTCTTCTACACTAATGGACATTCGTTTAATGGCATAAAACTGCTTCACTAGTCTCTAAATTTTTCTTTACTTATTATACTCTTTATGTCACTTAAATAATTCATCATGTAAGAAGTTCTGTCATTAAATGGCCATTTTTCCAAAGTGTCTGTGATTATGATTATATAATCTAGAAAATAACAATACTAAAAATAAAGCTCATAACAGCAAATTAATTTGATGACTGTATTAATAAAGGATGTCTCTAAAATTGTGTCATTCAAGAGAATAAATATGTACTGTCAATATATTTATGAGTGTTATGACTGGTAAGAATGGCATAAACTATGTGTCTTCCTTTCTCACATCAACATCTGATGGTTTTTCTTGGGCATATTCTGTCAGCTTGCTTATGATTCATCCTCCATGAAAATCATCCTAGTTTTGTTTTTGTTTGGTTCTGTTTTGCTTTGGATTTTTTGTTCGTTTGTTTGTTTGTTTGTTTAGGCAGAGTCTCACCCTATAAACTTGACTGTCCTGGAACTTAATAGGTAGATGAGGCCGGACTTTCTTTATATCAGTCAACCTGACCCTGCTTCTGAGTGCTGTGATTAAAGGTGTATACCAAATGCCTGGCCCTCCGAAATGGTTGAAAGAGATATTGGCTCTCAATATACCACAACTACATAGAAAGATGGATGTTGAATTCAAAAGAACAAAAGGAAGAAGCATGTTTGAGGAGACAGTAACCTACAGACACTGTGATACAGATTTTGAATTTCCTCACATTTGGTTTATAACCACCATGGTGCAACATGGTAAGGTGCAAGCAGACATGGTTCTGGAGCAAGAGCTGAGAGTCATACATTTTGACCTGCAGGCAACAGGAAGTGGTCTGAGACACAGGGTGTATCTTGACCTTAGGAGACCTCAAAGTCTGCTACCACAGTGACATACTTCCTACAACAAGGCCAAGGCTACCCTACAAAGACATACCTCCTAATAGTGCCAGTACCCTGTTTATGGTTGTCAATTACATTCAACCTATCACAATGTGACTCTGCACACATTAAAGGGAAGATGAATGAGTTAGTAAATTGATACACACTATGCTATTTAAAAAATTTGGTGTTCTGGGTTCTGCAGTGATCATATTTTGAAGTATCTTAGCTGTTTCTGCATTTAATAGTGTTGTAACTCTAGAATCTACTACTTTCTTTATAGAAGATCAACACTGTAAACATCTACTGTGCTTTCATTTTATTCTGTGTATTTTTCCCTGAGTTCATGAAATTAAGGAAAGTAATCCTCATTGCTTGGCTGAGCTCTCAATATCAGATATGACAAAAACTGAGCAGTATACCAGGACAGTGGTGACGCATGCCTTTAACCCCAGCCCTTGAGAGGCAGAGAGAGGCAGGGGATCTCCATGAGTTCAAATGCAGCTTGAGAAAGTGCCAGGAGAGGCTCCAAAGCAACATAAAGAAACCCTGTCTCAGAGAGAGAGAGAGAGAGAGAGAGAGAGAGAGAGAAAGAGAGAGAGAGAGACTGAAAGAGAGAGACAGGGAGAGGTATAACACTCAGGTGTTCAACAGCTAAGAGCATTGGAGCATTGTATTCCCAAAATTCCATCCATTCAGAAAATTATTTTTAAATTTACATGTTGTAATTCAAATCAAATACTGAAAATACAACCTAGAATACAGTATACCAAGTACCAATTTTTAAAGAAAATATACGTACAGGGATGCCGAGAGACTGGAGGGGAAAGATGAGTATGACAAAATCCTCTGTTCAAGACAACAGTGGAGAAATTAGAAAAAAGAGTGCAATCAAGTGTGACTTCAAATCAAATTGTGGACTTAGGGATATGACGAATGTAATTATATACACTTTTTACTTCTAAGATTATGCATTGTTGTTAGAATGACCAAGCAGTTGGCAAACATAAACTCAGTGTTCAATTGTGCATGGTTTTGGAAGCTGCCAGCATCTGATTCAATGCACTGATAATTTCTGGCCAACCTTCCTCCCTACTTTCTTTGTTAGCACAACACACATGAATTCTCCCTGTTCCTTTCAACTGTATCAATAAAATCAAATATACTTCTCATGCCTGGCTTCTTTTACTAAACAATGTATTTGTGTGTGTGTGTGTGTGTGTGTGTGTGTGTGTGTGTGTGTGTGTGATTTATCCCTGATGACATATTACATTGTATGGATAAATAACTCAGCTTCCTTATTAAGACTCCTACAACATTTGAAGTGTTTTTGTTACTGACCACTATTAATAAAGTTTATATCAATATTCTCGTTCACATTTTTTATAAATATGTATTTTACAACACTAGATGTCAGAAAGTAGGGTAATGCCATAGGATAAGAAGATAAAGACACTGTTGAACATTTTATTACAATTTATAAGTGTGGCTGTAAACCATACCAGCATGGGGATTGTGTATATAAATTCTAGTCCCTCTAACTAATAGCCAGTATTGAAAAATGCCAGATTTACAAAATCATTTCCATTAGTTCTTCTGCCACACACCCAGTAAGTGTTAACCTTCACACAATTTAGCTTCAGTTCTCCCTTCTTTCTCTCATAAGTTATTGCATGTACACCTCTATTCCACCTTTAGTAATGTTTCTATTAGCTGACTCCTTTGAGTGGCTAATAGTGGAGCTTTGGATTCTATCTTTTTAATTTTAGCTACTTTAATACAAAAGATAAACAGATGTATTGTGGCTTTATTTTGCATTTTCTTTGTGTCTGTATAATGTTCTATGCTTCATAGACATTTTTTTCTTCTATTTTGAAGCTTACTGCTTCTGTATGTTTCCACATTCCTGTCAATCCCTTGAAAAGTTATTCTAGTTATATGGGATTTTATCTGCTGACTGTAATTGTTAGATTTTCCGTGGGTCTTTTCTACTGATTGCTTTTGCTTTAAATGTTGTATTTTTTTTTGTTGTTGTTGTTTGTTTCTTTCACATATCTCTGCAGAGTTTTGTTTGTGTGGTAACTATCCACTGACTATACAAGTAATGAAACAAAACTCTGGAGTTCAAATCTTCTTCCTATGTCACATGGTTCTCAAGCTTCCTAATGCCACAACCCTTAAATACAGTTCTTCATGACCCCCAACCATAAAATTACTTTCATTGCTACTTCATAACTGTAATTTCCTTAGAGTTATGAGCTATAATATAAATATATGATATACAGAATATCTGATATGTGACCCCTGTGAAGGAGTCATTCAACGTCTAAAGGGGTCATGACCCCCATTTTGAGAACCACTGCTCTAGAATGTCCCTGTATGCTGATCTGATAGATTGATAATGTGGTATTTGTTAGCAGTTATTTCTTTTATGAGAGATGAGATTTATCTGTAGGTCTAAAAAGCAGTTAGAAATGACATTGTTTAAGAAAGTGACAATGGTAGGTTTCCCTCTAAGATATATTACCTACTACCCATGAATAGTTGCCTAGGCTTATAGTAACAAGCATGATTCCATTCCCATTAAATTGGCCTTTAATACAATTAGATAGTAGTTGGTTACCACCAGAATATGAGTGCCACTACTGCACCTTTAGGAATATTTTGACATGTTTGTCATCATTGTGATTTATAGATATCACAGCTGGGTAGGACTTTTGATCATTTTCCTTCACTAGCAGCTTGCATAGCACCTTCTGGTATTACAAAAACTCATTCTTAGAAAGTAGGCTTTTGTGCGGGTAAAACTAATATATTCCTAGTGTGGTCTCTTCAGCAGTAGAATCTTATTTTCAACTTCTAGGAGGCAATCATGGCATAGCAAAAAGATATATAATTTTAGGAATCTAACTCCCTTGACCAAAAGTTTGAGAGAAAACAGTTCCTCATGCCTAGAACTTGGAGTTTTGCTGGATAATTTACAGCTCTTAGAGAGAGTTCTATTACCCCAAGTGCTATAATTTTATTATATATACACGTATATGTGTATAGGTATATGTGTAAGTGTATGTGTAGACTTACATGTAATGTGTGCATTTATACATG